CCCGGCGCGACTGTCGCGGTGCGCAGGCGCGGGCTCCCTCCTTGTCACTCCGCGGCGTGCGGGTTGGTGGCTCGTCGGTGGCGGTGGCGGCGGTCGTCAGCACCATGAGCAGCTTCACCAGCGAGGAGCGCGCGGCGCCTTTCACCCTCGAGTACCGCGTCTTCCTCAGTGAGTGTCCGCGGGAGGCCTCCCTCGCCTCTCCGCCCGCCGCCCATTCATTCCAGGTCTCGCCGCCCCGCGCGGGTGCGGCCCCTGACACCGAGCGGCCCGGGCGCGTCGCTGGGCCCTGCTTGCCTCCGCGACGAGGGTGCCCCGCGAAGCCTCCCAGCCGAGGGGAGACGCCCAGCTCCCCACGTCCCGCAGAGCGCGCACCGGGCCGGGCTAGTGTTGCGAGTGTTGGGCTCCGGAGGGACCCGTTGGGAAAGTCATCCTAGAAAGGTGCCTGGACGTAAGACAGTCCCCGTAAGAGGATTGCTCCCCTGAGGAACGGGGCAGGGGCGGTGACGGGCTAAAGACCTTGATTCCGCCGCCTTGGTTCAGAGGGTCCGCGCCGAGCCGGGTCAAGACCTCCCCCTCGGCGGACAGCTGGGGAAACTGAGGCCCGGCCACGCCGGACCCAGCCTCGGGCGTTGCGCTTCTGCCTTTCCTGCCTCATGTTTTCCCGTAAGCGCTGATGCTGGGAGAGAAACAGAAAGCTGTGCCGCGCTGGTCACATAGGTGACGTTGGTCAGGAAGTGCCAAGTTTTTGATCTGGCTCAGGAATCTCAAGTCCTGCGTTTAGGAGCAGATAGCTCGAGACTGACCCTGCCCCAGCCTCCCGGGTACACCCCGTTTTGCCTTTTAACTCATTACCTAAGGTTTATTTTTCTCCTCTCCATCCTGCAGCTACTCGAAATAGATTGGTGGCGCTAAAGGAGGTGTTAGGAAAGCTGCGCCTCTGTTTTACCCTTTTACAGTTTTATTGGAAAGAGAACAGGCAGGTTCAGCGGAAGTCCAGGTTAGTGTGTGAAGCGCAGGAACAGGTGGGGTGGAGGGCGCGGCTCAGAATGCAGTACTGAAAGGATGAACCCGGCACCTGGCAGAACTTAGCCTGGGGTGCGGAGAAGAAGAAAGTAAACCCTATGGTTTGCGTGCTTCCCTGAAAGCTAAACCACCAGATAAATTCAGGAAGTCTGAGACTGCCCATTATTTAATTTCAGAATTAAGTAGTAAGGGCAGTACTGGAACTTTTGACTAATAATTCACCTAGCTGTTTTTCTGAACATAGTGTTGGCTCCAGAATTTCTCTGTAGAATGGACTATGGCTTCTTGGTCTTTTGGCTAAGATCAAGTGTATAGAATGGACTTACTGTAGAGAAGTGTCTCTGCTTTGAAAGGTGAGGGGATCGTCGGGAAATGGTCTTGGACTTACACGTTTATAACAGACTAGCTGTTTGTACTTAGATTAGGTATTGGCAGAGAGTATTAGAGTCCATTAGGGGACAGCAAAGCCACTCCTTGACTTTGACCCCACTGATGTTAATTTATCAAATGAAACTTCGGAATTTAAGGAATACTGATAAAGGCCTGGGGTGGGGTGTGACTCAGTTGTAGAGCACTTGGTTAGCATGTTTGAGGCCATGGATTTGATTCCCAATACTGAAAAACAAACCCTACTAATTAGAACAAACTATGCAAATTAACTAATTTTTAAAAATCATAGATTTTTTTGGTATTTTTCCTTAACAGAAGTGTAAGGATCTAATAGACTTAGGAATCCTGGGTGATTGGGGAAAGACCCTAAGATTGCGGGCAGTCACTATTCAAATTGTTCTATTCCACTTTGTTAAGGTAGATGGACACATACGTTTCCTCTTGAATATTATTTTATTTTTTGGAGAGGGGAACTGGGGATTGAACTCAGGCTTCTGTGCTTTCCAGGCAAGCGCGTATTCCATTGAGCCATCTCCCCAGGCTCTTCTCTTGAATAGTGAGGAAGGTTTCTTTGTTTGCAGTTCTAGGGATGGAACTCCAGCAGTTGCACATGCTAGACAAGCTCTTTACCATTGAGCTATCCCTAGCCCTGAGGAATTTTTAAAATTACATTTGAATATGGTAGTTCAGTCTGTAGAACATAGAAGTTACCTGTGAAGAATTTGTTGCAACTCGATTATCCTTGAGCAAAATTGTAATGGAGGGTTCTGTCCTGCCGAAATCCATTTAAAGCAACACAGTTTATAATTTAGCAAAATGGTCTGTTCTTTTCTTTCCAGTTATTTCATAGGAGTTCTGAAACAAGTTAACTGATACAAGTTCAAAAATAATTTGATCACTGTTTGCATACTATTAGTACTGCAGAGGTCAAGACATGCAAGGCTAGGGATTAATGCTGTCAGGGATTAAAGCCAAAGAGGTGCTTAGCATAAAAACCTGATCTTGGAGGAGGGTAGGAAAACAGAAATAAAGGACTGTGGGAGACTGGAGGTGAATTCAGTCTTAATTGGCCTTGGTGAGTACAAAGGAGGAAGCTGGTATAGCTAATTTTAAATTGGTTACCTGAGCATGTACTAAATGTTTAGAAAAATTATTTTATTGTATAAAAATCATTTTACTGTATAAAACCTTGGGAAATTCAAACCATTGGAAGGCAGAGGAGTTGTGTATTACTTTAATTACTCATCAATGTTTGGACTTTTATTCACTCTGCCTACTGGTAGCAAGAGCCCCCTGGCTGTCCTCCTGTTAAACAGATTTAATGGCTTTTCATCCTCATTTGCCCCCAGGTCAGGGAGAACAAAGAAGCTGGACTAGGGCTCCCACAAGTGACTCTGGGTAGGGAAAGCTCAGAGGGGTGGGCTGACTCCCCACAGTGGTGCCTGGGACAGGAGGTACCTGGAACCCATCTAGGTGGCTACACACAAACAGGTTTTATCTGTTGGTGTAGGAATAAAATTATGTACTTCATGCCTTTAGCAAAACAATCAGTAATAACTTTTTTTTGAGACAGGGTCTGTATAGTGCAGGCTGGCCTCAAACTAACAGTGATCCTCCTATCTCAGCCTCCAGAGTACTGGGATTACAGCATGTGCCACCATGCCTGGCAGTAATACCGTTTCTGATTTATTTTGCAGAAAATGAAAAAGGACAGTATGTATCTCCATTTCATGATATTCCGATTTATGCAGATAAGGTAAGGTACCCCTGTTTTGAACCTCATTGTGTTGTGAGTTAAAGGTTTATTAACAAATAAGTTTAATCTTTAAACCAGATCATTCATTTAAAGAAGCAACTGTAAATTGGGGAAAGCATAGAAGACCAGAATCAAGTTTTATTTATTTTTATTTTTATTTTTATTTTTGGAACCAGGGATTGAACTCAGGCCCTTGCACTTGCTAGGCAAGTGTTTATTCTACTGAGCTATCTCTCTGGCCCCCAGAAGCAAGTTTTTAACTGCCTTGTTTTCTTTCTTTCTTTCTTTTTTTTTTTTAAATAATATTTGTCTTTCCTGTATGTGAATTTGGAAATAAAGTCCTAGTACTTCATTAGTGGTTTGAAAATGAACCAGGTAGCCAGTACAGAATTTTGACTATAAAAGTGAGATATTTATTAAACAGTAAAAATAAAGTACATTATTCAGTCAGTGCAAGATAATTCATAGGCTAGTAGAGTGATTTGTGAATAGTGCTAATGAAGGTAAGTACTAAGTACACAGACGCCTAAAAGGAATGTTTGTTCCTATACACGCCAGTGATCTGAAGAAGTCAAACTTTAGTGGAGATTGGTAAATTTACCATGAACTAATAAGAATATTTATTATCCTTGGGTGGTAGTAATACCAGTAAGTTTTTTTTGTCTTTTTATGGTGTTGGGGATGGAACCCAGGGCCTTGCACATGCTGGGCAAGAGCTCAACCTCTGAGCTCCACTCGAGCCCATATTTTTATACCTTTAAATAGTAATGTTAAAAAAAAAAAAAAAGAGATAAAATGCCTTTTTCTTCTTCCTTTCTAATGGCAGAAGTTAAAAAAAAAAAAGAGTCAGCTAATTTATGGGGCTGGGGAGATGGCTCAGTTGAATCAAGCGCAAGGGCCTGAGTTCAATCCCCAGTTCCGCAAAAAAAAGAGGAGTCTAATGGCAGAAGTTTGTACTGTATTTCGGAACTTGACGGGGGACAGATACCTGATTCTTTGTAAACCTTTTTTTTTTTCCTCGTTTAATCACATTCAGTGCTGAGCTTTTTGAGTCATAAATCCTGCATAGGTCGTTGGCCTTTCTTAGTCCAGTGTTGATACGAAGTACAGGTGAACTTCACATTCCAACGCACGTGTAGAGTAACAGCAAAGATTTTTAATTTTTGTCCTTGAGTTTTGTCATTTTTTTGGACTTGCCTCTCAGAAACAGCCCAGTTCCTTGTGTGTGCTTTCACCAGGACGTCTGCTGCAGTTCCCTGTTGACACTTGCATGCAGAAAATCCATCTGCTCTCTTTCAGAGGAGCCTGCCCACTGCAGGCAGTGGCTGGAGCAGGCCTGAGACCTGAGACCGGTTATGTGCCATGGTTACAGGAGATCCTCTTTTTTTTTTTTTTTTTTGGTGGAACCGGGGATTGAACTCAGGCCCTTGCACTTGACAGGGAAGTGCTTATTCCCCTGAGCCATCTCCCCAGCCCGGGATCCTCTAATTGGCATGTGCATTCCTGTGGAAGTCTCAAAGTTGTACTTACTCAGAAACTGCTATTTGTTACATCTGATTTCCTGGGGATTGATGTGAACTACAAAATCCATCTCTTGAAATATCCCCATTTGGCTGGCTTGCATTCCTTTTTTTTTTTTTTTTTTAATTTTATTTATGTGTGTGTGTGTGTGTGTGGCCAGCTCAGCCCACCAGGGGGCAGGGCTGGCTGGCATGTGGTGTTGGGGGATTGAACTGCGGTCCC